ATTTAGAATGAAAATAACAGTAATGTATTTATTTTGTTTAAAACCGGTACTCATGCTATTTCAAATAAAAATGCCACCTATTTTTCTTGCCTAAGCAAATGAAGTGAAATTTTCTACAATCCACAGTTGGATGCCTACTAGCTACAGTGAAGAAGGAGGTGAGTCATAGCAAAAGTATTGTATGTAAGTGGGCACCAGGAGTTTACTCATATCCAACAATTCCAACAAACTGTCTACTATAAAACTCCAAATAGCTGAACTAAATTCATCTCCTTCAAGCGGCTATTCTATAAATTATAAATGAGTATATCCTGCTAATAAATCGTTACTTTACCTATAATATCTATTGCCTAACCTAACTAAGTAATATTAACAAACAGCAAGTTGGGGTTAAATAATGACAAAATTTCAATTAAATACCCAAATTTAATAATATTTATGCGTTGAGGGTCAACCTCGATTACACATAATATGCAATATTCAATAACTATTTGACAAAAAATATCAATTATTAGAGTAACGATTATTTAAATACATTCTCATATAGATTAGTCCTAAAAAATTTAAGTTGATATCGTTTTTCGTTTTTAATTTTGGGATTTTTTAATTTCAACCCTCCTTAACCCCCGTTTTTTTAATCAGATTTTTTAAAAATCAATAGGCTTCGTTCCCTTATAGAGCTTAATTTTTTTCACAAAAATTTAATTTGATATCGTTTTTCGCTTTTAATTTGTTTTTTTTTTAATTTCAACTCCCCTTAACCATTTATTTTTATTCAGATTTTTTTAAAATCAATAGATTTCGTACCCATATAGATTTTAATTTTTAGTGAAAATTTTAAGTTTATATTGTTTTTCGTTTTTTTTTCGTTTTTGATTTGATTATTTTTTGTTTCAACTCCCTCTTAAACCCCCATTTTTCGTCCCCTTTAAACTTGCCATTTTTATTCAGATATTTCAAAATCAAAACGCTTCGTCCCCTTATAGAACTTGATTTTTTCTAAAAATTTCAAGTTGTTATCGTTTGATTTACGATTTTTTTATTTCAACTACCCTTAACATCCATTCTTATTCAGATATTTTTTTTTGAAATCAATAGGCTTCGTCCGCCTGTAGATCTTGATTTTTTCTGAAAATTTAAAGTTTATAGTATTTTGCGTTTTTGATTTATGATTTTCAATCCTCACTTAAACCCTTAATTTTAAAACAATTATTTTCTTTTAGATTTTGATTTTTCCTTTCAAGTGGATATTGGTTTTCGGTTTTGATTAATGATTTCCCAATTCTTTTTTTCAAAATTTCTAGACTTTGCCCTCTGATATGGCTTAATTTTTCCTAATCTACTAACATGCCTACCCCCACTTTGGAGATTCCAAAATGATTGTAAATGTGAAGTATTTCTCAAATATATTATATTATGTCGAAGTTAGAATGACTGGTTTAAAAAAAAAACTAGCGAGACGCCGAAATGGTAGAAAATTTTAAATATATTTTATATTACGCTTCATGATGGAGATGTCGAAATGATAAAGGTAAAGTGTTTCTTACAGTTGTATATGTGGACGTTAAAATAATTGGTTTTAAATGGAAACTAGCGAGACGTAATAATGATTGTAAAATTTAAATATATTTTATAATTGCACTTTGGAGATTGAAAATTGAAATATCTTTTATATAAGATGGCAAAATGATTATAAAAGTAAAGTGTTTTTCATATACGTTGACGTTAGAATGATCGGTTTTTAAAAATAACTAAGAAGACGCCATAGTGATTTATACAGGGTTGGCCAAAGCTCTGTCGTAGTTCTATAACTCCTATTATGCAAATCTTAACGATTTATTCGAAGTATACCTGTCAATGGTGGTCAAAACCAAATATCCCAAAATTATTTTCTTGTGTACAGGGTGGCCCAATAGTAAATTAGGCAAATCACTTATTTTTTTTTAAACGGAATGACCCAACTTTTTTTCCAATTTTAGGTACTCTATGGTCACTAGTGCATACCCACAAAATATTGTTTCTAACATCCTACTCCTTTCGTAGAAAAAGAAGAAATACCAAAAAATATTACATTTTCAGACGCCTTTTAAAATATGCAGTGCTCTCTCGAATTTGACGTCAGAATTTAAAAAACTACAAATGTATAAAGCCAATAGACCAAAGATTTTTTAGACCAAGTTTTAATTTTTTATTTTGTACAGGGTGGTCACAAATTAATTTTAATTTCCAAAAATTTCTAGGACATTTGTTTCAAATTTTTCAAATAGAACACCCTGTGTTACTATTCATCGATAAAACGAGAATTTCATACCCTTCGACTTCCCCATGTACTTTCCTATACCTATCTGTCGTCGTTTAAAAGTAAATTCCGAAAAGACATTGATCTATCAAAAATCCAATTTCTACCAGTGGTTTTATTGAAAGTGAACATTCAATCAAGTAGGCTGGGTCTTAATGAAGTGTCAGTTAATTTTTAAAATGAAGTGTCAAGTTATTTTTACTGATCGCGATAATTCATCTATTAATAATGAATTTTACGAAAAACGAATTAATTGACATGGTCTATGTTTTGGGAAAATCCGACAGAAATTGTTTATTGTCAAATAGAATTTATCAACGATATCCCGATAGACGCATCCCTGATGAAAAAAGTTTTGAAAAGTTACATGAAAGATTTACCGAAACAGGAAATGTTGCTTATGAAAAACCAATAATTGACAAACGTGCTTCTGATAATGATAACCAATTATCTGTAATTTTGACAGCGATAGAAGATCCTCATGTAAGTCAAAAAAAGATTGCCGAAGTAGTAGGTATAAGTAGAACATCCGTTAGAAGGATTTTAAAACAGCATCAATATCATCCTTATAAAATACAATTGCATTAAGAGCTGAAAGACGCCGATTTTGATAATAGAATGGTGTTTTGTAACTGGGCACAAACTAAACTGCAACAAAATCCATTATTTTTTTTTATAGAGTGCTGTTTTCTGATGAATCTACATTCCACAAGAACGGATTCGTTAATAAGACATAACTTCCACTATTATTCCACGGAAAATCCTAACATCATCAGAACACATAGCCAAGAAAGATGGAGTGTAAATGTTTGGGGAAGTATAATTGGGGATCATGTTATTGGGCCGTATTTTTTTGAAGGCAACTTAAATGGTCTGATGTATTTAGATTTTTTAGCAAATCATCTTCCTACTTTACTTGAAAACATTTCCCTTGCTATAAGACTAACAATGTGGTTCCAACATGATGGGGCAGCAGCACATTTTTTACGCGAAGTGGCAGATGAATTAGATGAAAAGTTTCCAAATAGATGGATTGGTAGAAATGGTCCAAAAAAATGGCCAGCTCGATCACCTGACTTAACAAAACCCGATTATTTTTTGTGGGGTTATATTAAAAATCTAGTCTATCTTACGCCACCTACAACACCTGAAAATATGAAAGAAAGGATAGTGCAAGCTTTCCATTCCATTACACCTGATATGCTTAGAAACGTTTCTCGATCATTCGCCCAACGAATAAATGTATGCATTAGAGAAAATGGCAGACATTTTGAGCATCTTTTATAAAATGTAAATTTATGTTTTAGGATAAATTTCAAATAAATTTTATTATCGTAATTTTCTTCCTTTTGAATTTATTTTATAACGGCGACAGATAGGTATAGGAAAGTACATAGGGAAGTGGAAGGGTATAAAATTCTCCTTCAGTTGATGAATAGAAATACAGGGCAATACATTTGAAAAATTTAAAAAAATTCCCACGAAATTTTTGGAAAGTGAAATTAAATTGTGACCACCCTGTACAAAATAAAAAATTCAAACTCGGTCCAAAAAAATCTTTGGTCTATTGGCTTTATACAATCGTAGTTTTTTAAATTCTAACATCAAATTCTAGAGAGCACTGCATATTTTAATAGGCGTCTGAAAATGTAATATTTTTTGGTAATTTTTTTTTTCTGCGAAAGGGGTGGGATGTTAGAAACAATATTTTGTGGGTATATACTAGTGACCATAGAGTACCTAAAATTGTAAAAAAAGTTGGGTCATTCCATTTAAAAAAAATAAGTGATTTGCCTAATTTACTATTGGGCCACCCTGTACACAAGAAAATAATTTTGGGATATTTGGTATTGGCCACCATTGACAGGTATACATCAAATAAATCGTTAAGATTTGCATAGTAGGAGTTATAGAACTACGACAGAGGTTTGGCCAACCCTGTATATTTAAACATAATATTATGTTATATACATTAGGTACAGGACGTTAAAACGATGATATTATTAAAAGCTTTCAGATATATTAGTGATAATACATAATTATGTTAAACGTGGGGTTTAAAATAATGGATGAGGCACCGTCTACAACATGTGACGTTACAATGATTGAATTTTCTTTCAAGAAACTTGGCAACGTTGCTGGTAGTCGCAATGATTTCACTTTTATTATTACTATTACGATATATTTATACAATGCTATTACTATTAAAAATCTTAAAAATCTTAGTTTCATATTTTAAAAAATTGCGCCGGATTTATATACAGCAAAAACTTTAAAAAAAGGTTTCTTTCCAGTGGACGCCAAATTAAGGTGTGATGTATATATAATTAAAAAATAGGTTTTTCTGAATTCGCGTGGTTCTCTATCTCTCTATCATTTGCTTAGTAAGTTTTTAAAATTTTATAAAAAAATATTTAAAATTAAGAAAGAGAACCTTGAAGTCCTTTCGAGTTTGTTTCTAAGAAGGACATCGCTCTCAATACGATTTTTGTATGTACAGAATAAGACTGAACTTGTTTGTATTGATATTTATGTATAAATATTTATACTACTGTATAATATGATAATAGATTTGGTATTCAATTGTATCACTTCGAGAACCAGACTCGCAAACTAAATTCAACCGGACGTGATATATTCCTCACGTGTGCCACATAACTCAGTTAACCAGAATCGATGCATTTGGAGAAATTCTGCTTACCTGTTACTGTCAGTTCCAAAAATATGCTCGTAGTGGGATGTGTAGATATTTGACATTCATACACTCCAGCATCTTCCGGTCGGACGTGTTTAATAACCAATCCCCAATTCTGCAAATGTCTTGCATGTTCAACGAAGAATCGATCGTCGGCTATGTACGTTCCTACTCCAACTGTCAATATTGTTGGAGGTTCGTCCTTTTTACGGATCCAGGATACCTGCAAAGATAGATAATTTTAATAATTAAACAGACGTTAGACACGGAAACGTACTTAAATGGAGAAAGGTATTTTCTACGTCCATAGTATGTACTATTTTCGGTACAAACTACAGAATTATTATTACGTAGGCCATATCAGTCTACTGAACGTATATAATTTCATATTTATTGTACAGTGTGGAACAACCAAATGGAATAACACTTGGTAATAAATAAATGGAGACGTGTTCGGAAAAATATTCGGACACGTCGATTGGTATTTTTAGTTGCGCATTTTTTTAACAAAAACTTTTTACACATGGTGTATCATGTAATAGTGGACCAAACCAACTTTCTTATTTTCAATACAACACCCTGTAAATTTAGACATATTTTATGTACCTAACTATTTCGGAAATATTAAATGTTTTCCGATTTATTTCAAAAATTAACATTAACAAAATAAAATTGTTTGATTACAGAAATTCGCTACAATACACTCAATACTTATTTCCCATTTAGGTCTTTATAAAAAATTTCTGCGTTCATTTTTACTGATATGAAATAAAAAAAGCTAAACTTAAATAATTTTGTTTACTTTTGTTTAAAACGCCTGACCTTAGCAAATTGTTATCTGAATTCAAGACAGTAGTTTTCAGTGTTATAGTCGTTTAAATTTCTTTAACTGCATATCAGAAAAATGGTTCATTTAAAAACCCTAATTCGATTTTTTCCCTTATAAAGTACGCAACTTTCGAACTTCGAAAAAGTTAGATCACTGTAATTTTTAACTAAATATTTTATGTTAATTGTGTTGCCTATATATTTAGTTTAGTATTAAAACTTATTAGATGCTTGGTTACAAAATATTGTGTAAACATAACCTATTTTAATTGTGATATGTTTGCCGAGTAAACGCCCTTGAAGAAACCGTTGGTAAGTAGTATGGAATATTGTGGTCAATTGTTGATTTTTTTGTTATAATTGTAGTGAAATATTTATGTACAAATAATCCAAAGTAGAATAATTAGGGCAATTGTTAAGATGTACATTATAGTTCACATCGTCAAAGATATAGTAGTTTGTAGGTTTTTTATTATGTATCTTATAGTTCACATTGCCATAGACTCGGAACATTAAAACTATTTTGGATTTTATCCAACAGTATACATTTTTAAATATCAAACTTTGTTTTTGTTGGGTAATTTAGTATTTTTAACTAGTTATCTCAAAGGTAAGTTGTTTGAGTTAATTATTTTGTTTTGGAGTATAAAGACTTAATGCAGTCGTCCAGATCCCGAAAAATTTTTCTGTTGCTTCCGCCCCCATCATCTAATTTGTATGAATCCTCTGACAAAGAAAATAGCGTATTTCATTGTGGATCTTCTAGAGTTGAGAGCGACGCAGAAAGTGAGAGCTTTGAAGCAGCTAGTTTACCCCCTAAGGTACAAGAAATGTTTGATCAACTATCCGATATTGATACAGACTCCAAAGCTGAACCAGACCAAATTTCTGAGTTAAATTCAAAAATTTGGCCAGAAACACCTAAATCAGAATTCAGTCCCTTGAAGACAAGATCAAAACACAAAGTTTAGTCCAGTCATTAAAAAAGCAGAAAAGGTTGGCATTCAGCCTAAAAAACTAAAACAAAAAAGAAGAAAAACAAAAACAGTATATTTGGTCCAAAGAAGAATTTGAATATCCCGTAAAAATACAGGATAATAACTTTCAGTTCCATAAGAAATAAAATCGCCATTAGATTATTTCAAGATGTTTTTTTCAAAAAAACAGGAAAGTCTATCCATATTACTAATGACTTTCTAGCCATACAGATTTCGATGGGAATAATAGATTTGCCATCATACATACACTATTGGAGTGTTGATTGCAGATATGCCAAAATATCAGAAATCATGCCCCTTAAAAAATATCAACAAATTCGCCGCTTCATACATTTTGCTAATAATGATCATATAAACAGTGATCAGTATTACCGTATAAGACCTGTTTTAGATATAATTAGAAGGAATTGTATCAATATCGAAGAAGAGACACCACAGAGCATTGATGAAATGATGGTTCCATACAAGGGCAAAAAGGCAGGTTCACGCAGACAATCTAAAAAGTCTAAACCAAAAAAATGGGCTTTAAAATATTTGTCAGAGCTGGTATTTCAGGGTTGGTTTACTCATTTATGCGGGAGATGACACATTTAGACAACATATTTTTTTCGGAAAAGGAGGATTTAGTCGGCGTTGGAGCTAAAGTTGTTCTGGCTCTAATGTGTTGTCTGTTATATATGTCGACAATTTTTTCCCAAGTTTTGATTTGTTCTACACTCTTCAACACCAGTATGGGATTTTAGCATTGGGGACTTTGAGAGGAAATCGGCTAAAAAATTGCATTTGGAAGAAGACAAATTGTTGAAGAAAAAAGGTAGATGAGCGTTTTCTTATGCAAGTGATAACACTAATAAGATATTTACTATTAAATGGTTTGACAACAAAGCAGTTATATTGGCAAGTACGTATGTCTCTTCTAAACCTGTTAGAACCATCAAACGGTATGACAAAAATCAAAAAGGAAGAATTGATATACCATGTCCAAATATTGTAAAACACTACAACTCTCACATGGGTGGAGTTCATCTAATGGACATGTTGATTAGCCTATACAGAATTCCTTTAAAAACACGCCGCTGGTGTCTTTTAATGTTTGGGCAAATTATAGACATTTGCATAAATAACGCTTGGTTAATGTATGGTAAAGATGAAAAAAGCCTCAAGGATAATTAAAAAAAAAACAGTGTAAAATGGTTTAGAAATTGTATAGCAGAGGGCTTACACACAAAGGGCAGAATAAATAATAAGAAGTAATTTTCTGAAGAAGACAGAGAAGTTAAAAAAATAAAAAATGCTATTCTTCCAAGGCCTTCTAATGACACATGCTATGATAAAGTGGATTATTTTTCAATTTATAAAACAAAGGGCAGATGTCGGCATTGTCAATCTGGAAAGACACACTGGTCCTGTTCCAAATACTCAGTTAGGTTGTGTTTAGTTAAAAAGAGAAACTGCTTCTATAATTTCCATAATGGACAGAATTGTTTTTTTATTGTTAACATATTTTTGAGAATTATTTTTTTTATTTTCACGTAATTATATATTTTTTTATTAAATAATTGTTTTTGTTTTACTTTTATTCGCAATTCTGGTCTAAACTATGTACCCTAAGGGGTGGGTGGCTCAGTGGTAGAGTCTCTGCCTGTGGATCCAAGAGTCCCAGGTTCGAATCCCACCGTTGGCCGGGATTTTTTTATTTAATGTAATTATTTAAAATTAATTCTAATGCCTTGGTAGGATTCCTCTCTCGACCATTCACTGTTGGGTTCTAATTAACAGTGCTGTTCCTAAAGTGGCGCTGGGAAACAGTAACAAAGCCTACACCGAACACAAGTCTAATCGCCTCAGTAGTCGATGCCGATGACACCATAATAAAAAAACTATGTACACATAATATAAAAGAATCCATTGTATCTAGACATTTAGTAATGTGCCTTATAGGGTACATGTTATATTTGACAGATTAGTAAAATTAATTAAAAAAAAAAATAGCTAAAATGCTTTCTTAGACACTCAATGCACCAGCAAAGGTCATATTTTACACAAAAAACTTATTAATCTAAGCTTGCCAAATTAAGGGTTAACATAAATGCACAAAATAACAATTCTACAGATGATTGGTTATGGAGATAACACACGGACACAAATGGAAGTTGCTCTTTTATTTCATGAAAAATTTCCAAATTTGCCGCTTATATCCCAAGGGACAACTAGTAAAATAGAGAAGCAGTTTCGCTAGCTTGGACATGTAAGGCTGTTAAAAAAATAGATGCCAATGCCAATAACTATTGATACCAAAGTGGATAATATGCTTGAGTTTCAGGAAAGCTTCAACTTCTATTCGAAACGCAGCCCCAATGTTCGATATTAGCATTTATCGATTATTCGAATATTAAAAGAAAATAATGTGCATCCCTTTTAAATAATAACAACTCAGGGGCTCATGGAAGACGATTTTGATAGGAGAACGCAACTTTGTTAACAAATAATAATAATATAATAATAATAATACTCTCCCTAATTCACCCCCTTACGAGTAAATTTTAACCCCAAAAGATGAGCTTGTGCGGGGAAAGGGACGGCTATTATTATTATTTGACGTGGCGCTCCGGGGCGACTTAAAGATGATTGATGGTGCCATTTGACTTACAGGTGAGGAAAACCCGGAAAACCTCACCCACCATCATCGAGACGATAATGCATGGCGATTTTATAATCTGCATATCATATCAATAGAAATTGAATTTCTATGAATACGGCACACATCAAATCCTAAACCGAACCATGCAATTTAATTAAAAATTCACATGGTCTGGTCTGGAATTCGAAGCCCAGCAGTCTCGGACTCATAAACTTGCCTATAAATGAATATAAGCGCGTTAGATCGCTACACCATCGACCCGAATGATAGCAATGTTAAATAATATGGTGATCCAATTTAAAAAAATTTTGTTTTCTGATGAGTGTACCTTTACACTTCACGGTCATGCTAATCATCAAAATTGCCACTATTGGTCTATGGAAAATCCTCACTGGATAAGAGAAGAACATACGAAATACCCTGAGAAGGTTAATGTTTGCACAGAAATTGTTGGCGATCATATCATAGATCCCTTTTTCATTGATGGCAATTTGAATGGCGATAATTATTTAACACTGCTCCAAGATAATGTCATGCCAACTTTAACGAACTTACATCCCGATCCAGCAAACCCACAAGTTCCAGCGAATATGATATGGTTTCAGCTAGATGGAGCACTGCCCTATTACCAAATCAATGTCCGGCAGTACGTCAATCGAGTATTTTCAAATCGGTGGATAGGGAGGCGAGAATCGATAGAATGGCCAGCACGATCCCCTGATCTAAATTTATTGAACTTTTTCTTATGGAAATATATCAAAAGTATTGTATACAAAACTAAACCTCTTGACCTAGCTGACTTAAGAAAACGAATAACGCTTGAGATTAGATCAGTCACGCCTGAGATGTTGAGAAACGTTAGAAGATATTTTAATTTTAGATTAGGATGTTGCTTAAAGGTTCGTGGCGAGCATTTTGAACAACTCCTACCAATCAGAAATAGAGACGGATGCTGGGCTCGAAACAATTTGCAAAAAGCAAACAGATTTGCGATACATTTGGAGAGTACCTTTCAACCCAATAATAGTGAAGATCTTTAAAACTGGATAGAACAAGCACAAGAAGATAAAACCTACCTCTCTAGAAGACAAATATAAATCCAAAAAATGCCCCTCGATTTAACCGCATTACTAAAGAAATTTTAAAAATTCCTCCACGGAAAGCTATTGTCAAAATGGCCAATGCATCCTTTAGACTAAATTACGTACAATTCAGATAATTTTTCCAAGCAATGAGGGTGGGAATATTTTTGGATCAGTCATAGGAGTTGCTTTAGCTACAGTTACGATAATAAACTAGAATATTTTTACCTTGAAAGTTTCACTATCGTTATGTACATATGCCATAAATTGATTCGAAGGCATCTTCAGGATGACATTGTAAAACAAAAAAGATTTTTCGTTTTTTTTCTACCTCACAGTGTTGTCAGAATATGTTTTTGTTATGTACCGGATTTGTCTAAAAAATGTACCAGATTTTTTAAATTGTATATGCAATAACGGTTTGGTTCATTGAATATCAAAAAAGGTGTTTATAGAGTAGAGAACGAACACAAACATGGAAGATAATGTTAAGAGTGAGAATATGGGTCCTTTTGACTGGCCCTAAAGTCCACTCTTAGCGGTAACCACGGGTTATATATAGGGGCCCAATTCGTATTTAAATTGGCCTCTAGATAACCCACGGCTAGGGGGTTAAGTTCAGACGGGAAGACCTAAGGAACCCTAACTTGAAAGATTGAAACAACAAGCGTAAAACAAATAACTATGGTTTATTTAACAAGTATATAAATATAGCACTTCAATAATCTTTGCTAACTACACAATTAAATATTACTCCTTAAAAGTATCTACTTACATTAACATTGTTATCCGTTGGGCAGCAGGACTGGCTAAAGGCACACGTTACTTTTTCCACTACGTGGTTTTACACAAAATAAAACTAACCGCGATTTCGCGTGACCGACCCGAAATTTACTTAGTGCCAAAAACTGGACACGACCGATCGCCAACAAAAACCCAAAGGAACTCCCAGAAAATTCACTTGTAATTTTCCAAGAATGCTCGTGTTGATCTTTCTTGACCCTGTACTTTAATATTATGATTTAATAAAACCTTGTCCAACTACACGTTTTGTTATTTTATTGCAAATGTATTTAATGTGCATGCCCTTGGACAAAATTTACAAATCATAACATACCTATTCACAGGGTGTTCTATTTATTCGTAACATGTGCCTCCGCCCCGGAAAAGGGTCGCCCTCGACCCTTGACCTACCTATCGACTAATCCTACCCTACTATGTACTACCTGAAAAGTTTATTATACAATACAAAAATTTTACATAATTTTTCTTAAAACAATTGTTCATTCCGTCCTTTGACACTGGGATAGTCCGACTCTGCACTTCACAAGACTTCCAACTTGATTGGCCTTCGCTCCGAGTATCATGTTGCATCGAGAGACAGGATGTATCGCAACTCAAGATAAGGAAAGAATAAGACTGTGCTTTTCACCGGTTGACCATGGTTAACCCATCGTACGTGGAAATATGTGAGGTATAACTTCCCATTATCAGCTGGCTTACATCGTGAATTGATTTACTCCCATGCAGTTGTGCTTTACTTTAATTTAGTTTGATTCTCCTCTGTGTCGTGTCGCTGCCAAAACAAATGTCTATTGCGCTTCAGGTATTTAGTGAAAGGTATCTTCGCTCTCGCTCGATGTGGATTATCGTGCTCAAATATTTATTTCGGGTTCTAAGGTTCTTCAAGTTTTAATTAATCAGGTTTGATACAACCTTACTTGATTATAAGTGAATCTTTTGGTGTTGGTGAAGTTTGGATTATCTCTTTTTGTGGTAAGTACCTTTATCTTTTGTTTAATGTTTAATTTCTTCATCCATTTCCTATTTCCATATAATAACTTCCTTCTATACTTGTCATGTACAATCCCGGCAGATTACCTCCTCCAGTACAGGTTGACCTCCATTCAATAGCCTTTCTTTCTGAGTTTCGATCATACGCCAGCGGCCCACATCATCCTTTTACACCTCCGCTGATGTGTGGTTGTTACGTTGTGCAGAATCTCCAGGTCGGTTTATCCAGGACATGTAAGAAAGAGAAAAAAAATACAGGTAGTACTTACAACAATATTGTTTCAATATTTAAAACTAATGACCTTATATTAGAGAAATAACAATTAGTGTGGGCCCAATATTTGCGTTAAACTCTAACACCCTACCATTCACATCATTTATTTCACAAATATTTTTTTATGTTATTCTGTTATTCTATGGGGACCACCTGTCTTGTTATTTCTCTTTCAAAATTTATTCCTAAGTTATTATACATTCCAACAAGGGCAGAGGAACAGGCTCCTATTAGGCCCAGAATAAAAAATATACATACTAATACGAAACAATAGTTTCATAAATACAAAAATTCTATGAAGAGCCTATGATTCGATTCCAAAAGTATTAAAAAATTGATCTAATCCTGTTTTTGTCCACAGACTATATTTTTCCTACATTACTGACGTTTACGCATTATCTATAATGGATTTTTCAAAGGCCAAAAATTTTTTTTTTTTTTTTTGTTTATGTGGTTGGTTGTTTCTTCCTTACCCAGGATCCCCGAAAACTACATTTCCTCACTCAACTTCACACCCACTTCACATTACCTACATTTACTCTATGACGTTCATACATTTCATCTATTCTTCAGACATTCTCCTTATATCCTGTCGTTTATCTATTCATTATGATAATTTTGCCTCCACCATATGTTAAGAGTGAGATTATGGGTCCTTTTGACTGGCCCTAAAGTCCACTCTTAGCGGTAACCACGGGTTATATATAGGGGCCCAATTCGTATTTAAATTGGCCTCTAGATAACCCACGGCTAGGGGGTTAAGTTCAGACGGGAAGACCTAAGGAACCCTAACTTGAAAGATTGAAACAACAAGCGTAAAACAAATAACTATGGTTTATTTAACAAGTATATAAATATAGCACTTCAATAATCTTTGCTAACTACACAATTAAATATTACTCCTTAAAAGTATCTACTTACATTAACATTGTTATCCGTTGGGCAGCAGGACTGGCTAAAGGCACACGTTACTTTTTCCACTACGTGGTTTTACACAAAATAAAACTAACCGCGATTTCGCGTGACCGACCCGAAATTTACTTAGTGCCAAAAACTGGACACGACCGATCGCCAACAAAAACCCAAAGGAACTCCCAGAAAATTCACTTGTAATTTTCCAAGAATGCTCGTGTTGATCTTTCTTGACCCTGTACTTTAATATTATGATTTAATAAAACCTTGTCCAACTACACGTTTTGTTATTTTATTGCAAATGTATTTAATGTGCATGCCCTTGGACAAAATTTACAAATCATAACATACCTATTCACAGGGTGTTCTATTTATTCGTAACAATAACAATATATTTAAACGTTAAATGGAAATTACCCTATGGCACTCCGGGAAAGAGAAAGTACTAGATTTTGCTTTGAGTGCACTAGAAAACTAAATTCTTTGAGAATGTGCTAGATCTAGTACAATTGTACTAGACTGGTCACATTGCTACCTTCATAATCAATCCCTAGCACCCACATATTGCTACCCTCGCCCTTAATACTTTAAAACTTTGTTTTTGCTTCTCGTTGTAATATTAATTTTTACAATTAGATGGCTTTCCTTTTTACGTAGAGGAAACCACAATGGCAAATTAAGGTGATTTATTTTTTAACTAAAAAGTATATTTCTTATTAGCCCTTTTAGTTTTTAATCTGCACAACACAGAATATTCTAATCAAATTTTCTCTTAATCTGCTGGTTGAGCATTCGTAATTATATTACGCAGCAAAAGAAAAATAATTTAAGCTACAAAAAGAGTACAACCAAAGTAAATAAATAATGACAGGGCTTGTTGTTGTATTTACTTTATCTTCAGATTTATTTTACATTTTCTGGAACATTTTATTTTCTTAATACCTACCATGCTATATGAGTTCTCTTTCTTTTCAGGATGGGCAAATAAGCAATTAATAATATCGAACATCCCGTATAAAACTGTTATGAGTCTAGAAACCAAAATTTTACAGGTTAACAAAACTGTTTTCCCAGTTTTAAAATGGTAATGTAGTTTAATTCGGAAATAATAAGTAGTAAGAGAATGTGAAAAACTTGTGAAAAATGTTGACAGAGTTGCTATATACATATACAATATATCCAATATACCGGATGGAAATTAGACTAGGGCTACGTTAATAACTACTTTTTCTACAGCCACATGGATATTAGCTTATCTACGTACAGACTACAATACGACAGAGTATGCTATTATGTTCAACTGAACAAATATATGTTACGCAGGTTTTTGGTATCGCAATTTATGTCAACCTAACTTTAACAACAATTATACAACTGATAACATTAACATGATATTAACATGTAACGTCTATCATCCAAACTGAAAACTCTGACGTCAGGTCGTCGACTTATACAGCTTGCCTCGATCTTCTAGAACTTTTTCGAACAATCCGAACTTTTCTTTGACAACGAATGATATTTCAAAACATTTCTGGGCTATTCTGTCTTCTTTATTTACTTGTACCTTTACTTATAACGACCGCAGCACGCTACAGGATGCTGCGTAATATTGCTTCTCCTCTCTAGTTATTCGCCACGATTAACTTGATTACTGGGAACCAGTTAGAGCTAACGGGAAGGATCTGGTAGTTAACTACCTTGGATTTACTTCCCGCTGACAGCTGAATGCGGTAGATCAGGTCGTTGATATTTCTTATGGACGGCGTAGTGGCCTTCCCAGTTCCATTGCGATTTCTGGCAAAATCCTCCTCGATGCTTGGGAGTGTACAACCGTACTGAGTCACCTCTCTCAAAATGTGTCCCTGTGGCACGCCTGTCGATTCTAGCTTCTGCTTTATCTCTGTTGGCTTCCAGTCGTTCCCTAGCGAATCCGTAGACATTTGTCCTGCCATTGCATACATCACATTTTTTACACCAATCCGCTACATCCCGTCGGCAATTGACCCAATAAAATATTTCTCGAACTCGTGCCAGTGTTTTTTTGGTACCAAAATGTCCTCCCGAACGGCTACAACGAAGTTCCTCCAACACACTTCTGACATGTGATTTTGGCAGTACCACTTGGCGGACTGCATGTACTCCATGAGGGCTTTCCCACTTCCGGTGCAATAGGCCATCGTGAAGATACAGGGAATCCCACTGAGTCCAGTACCCTTGAATAGCTCCACTGTATTTGGCTATCTCTTGCCAAGTAGGTGGAACTTTATTTTTGAGCCATTCTCGAACAACTTTCAAATCATTGTCTTTCTTTTGCCC